AGGCTTGGGCACACTCTCCCTGGATGCGGCGCGCCTTTTCCCTCCGCGGCGGGCAGCTCAGGCAGCCAGAGGCTTGGGCGCACTCTCCCCGGATGCGGCGCGCCTTTTCCCTCCGCGTCGAGCGGCCCAGGCAGCCAGAGGCTTGGGCGTACTCTCCCCGGGTACGGCGCGCCTTTTCCCTCCGCGTCGAGCGGCCCAGGCAGCCAGAGGCTTGGGCGTACTCTCCCCGGGTACGGTGCGCCTTTTCCCTCCGCGGCGAGCGGCTCAGGCAGCCAGAGGCTTGGGCGCACTCTCCCCGGATGCGGCGCGCCTTTTCCCTCCGCGGCGAGCGGCCCAGGCAGCCAGAGGCTTGGGCGCACTCTCCCCGGGTGCGGCGCGCCTTTTCCCTCCGCGGCGGGCGGCTCAGGCAGCCAGAGGCTTGGGCGCACTCTCCCCGGATGTGGTGCGCCTTTTCCCTCCGCGGCGAGCGGCCCAGGCAGCCAGAGGCTTGGGCGCACTCTCCCCGGGTACGGCGCGCCTTTTCCCTCCGCGGCCCCAGCGCGCGCCGCCAGTCGGGTCTCAGGGAGTCTTTAGATAGGAACCGGGGGCCTGTTTGCAGTGTGGGAGGGGGCGGCTTCTCAGGGGCTGAGTTTGCCCTTTTCCCCTCCCCCCTGCCTCCTACCTCCAGCGGGGATGGGCCGGCTCTTCTCTGGACTTTCTCAGTCCCTTTGTTTTGCGAACCGCCAGCAGTGTGTTCGGTCCTGTTAATTTTAACCCTTGCTATCCCACAGTTTAAAAAAGCTCCCTCCGATTGCTCTCAGGGTCTTCGGGCAGGTCCTTACCCTAAGCAATGCCGCCCGCTCCTCTCCGTCCCGCCCCCGCTTGTTGCTGGTGGGTACGGGCATCTGGGGTACTTTTCTGCTGGGAGTTGCTTTTAGGCACGTAATCTGTGGGCCTTGTTTAATTTTTCCTCCCAGTTAGATTGCTGAAAACTTCCCCCAGTCCCGCCAGTGCGAGGGTTTCCTGGTGATTGGAAACTTCCTCTTTTAAGACTCCCTTCCCGGGACGGGTCTCCGTCCATAGCTCTTTTGACTCCCTTTTTATCTTTTATATTTTGTCCTACCTCCCTTCGAAGACAATGGGCTGCTTTTCTGGGCGCCTGATGTCCTCTGCTAGCGATCAGAAGTTGTATTGTGCAATTTGCTCAGCATTCAAATGGTCTTTCGATGAATTTGTAGGAGAGAAAGTGGTCTCCCCGTCCTATTCCTCCGCCATCTTGGCTCCTTCTTCCATGGTTTCTGTATTGTTGAAGCCTGGCTTGGAGAATTTTGAGCATTACTTTGCTAGCGTGTGAGATGAGTGCAATTGTGTGGTAGTTTGAGCACTGTTTGGCACTGCCTTTCTTTGAGATTGGAATGAAAACTGACCTTTCCCAGTCCTGTGGCCACTGCTGAGTTTTCCAAATTTGCTGGCATAGTGAGTGCAGCACTTTCACAGCATCATCTTTTAGCATTTGAAATAGCTCACCTGGGATTCCATCACCTCCACTAGCTTTGTTCGTAGTAATGCTTCCTAAGGCCCACTTGACTTCACATTCCAGGATGTCTGGCTCTAGGTGAGTGATCACACCATCGTGGTTATCTGGGTCATGAAGATCTTTTTTGTATAGTTCTTCTGTGTATTCTTGCCACCTCTTCTTATTATCTTCTGCTTCTGTTAGGTCCATACCATTTCTGTCCTTTATTGTATCCATATTTACATGAAATATTCCCTTGGTATCTCTAATTTTCTTGACGAGATCTCTAGACTTTTCCATTCTATTGTTTTCCTCTATTTCTTGCCAATTATGTACTGTTCATAAATCATGTTCAAATCTTCTATATTCCTTCTAACTTTTTGCTTTTTCAATTAGTGTCCTTTAATTCAAGCTTGAAGAAATCCTTTCAAAATTTCTTGTAATGCAGTCTAGAGGTGATAAACTTTCTTGGCTTTTGTTTGTCTGGGAAATCTTTTATCTCTCCTTTGCTTCTGAAGACAGTTTTTCTGTAAAGTATTCTCTGTTGGATGTTTTTACTTTCAGCACTTTGAATATAACTATGCAGGCCTGCAAGATTCCTGCTGAGAGAAACTGCTGATAGCCTTAGGGGGTTCCCTTGTATGTGAGGGACTTTTTTTCTCTTGATGCTTTTAAAATTCTCTTTATTGGATTTTAGACAGTTTTATTATAATGTATCTTGGAGAAGATCTTTTTGAGTTTAAAAAAATCAGACAGACCTATGAAATTCATGAACTTTGGTGTTCAAATCTCTAGGTTTGCAAGTTCTCAGCCATTATTTTTTTCAAATAAACTTTCTTCCTCTTTCTCCCTCTTTTCTTCTTCTGTGACTGCAATAAATTGTAGATTGTTCTCAATTGTGTCCACATTCACATAGGCTTTCTTCACTCTTTTTCATTCTTTTTTTTCTTTGTATTCCTCTGATTGGATTATTTCTAATGACCTGTCTTTGAGTTCACAGGTTCTTTCTTCTGCTGGGTCCAATTTGATGTTGATGGTCTCTACTGCATTTTCTGTTTCATTCAGTATATTCCTCAGCTTCATAATTTGTTTGGCTCATGTTAATGATTTCTATTTCTGTTAACGTTTTCCTTTTGTTAGTTAATGTTTTTCCTGATTTTGTCAAGGTGTCTTTCTCTGTTTTCTTGTGGCTCACTGAGCTCTCTTTAAACAACTATTTTAAATTCTTTCTCAGGCAAATTGTAGATCTCCATTTCTTTGGGGATGGTTACTGGAAAATTATTGGGTACCTTTGGTGGTGTCACCTTTCCTTGACTTTTCATGTTCCTTGAAAACCTGTGTTACTGTCTTTGCATTTGAAGACGCAGTTACCCCCTCTAGTCTTTACTGACTGGCTTAGACAGAGAATGTGTTTTATCAGTCCTGCTAGGGATTCTGAGGCTTTCTGAGACCTTCTCTATGAGTACACTTGTTCCACATTCTTGTTCTCTCAGGCAGAATTCTTAATATCGTAAATCTTCTCCAACACTGCAAAACCAGGCTGGGTCCTGCCCTTAAGAGTGTCATATTTAAAATGTGCCTCCTGTAAAAAGCACATAATTGAGTTTAATCTTCTCATATAGTCTGACAATCTTTGTCTTTCAGTTGAAGTGCTTATTCTATTTATATTTAATGTAAGTAGCGTATTTGTATATCTTCATATCAGACAGCTAATATTCTTGAGTATTCACTCACACATTTATCCTTGGTGATGCTCTTTATTGTTTAATGTATTTCTGTGTGTGCATCTGGGATGCTTTTTTCCTCTGCTATTAAAAACTTCTTTTATTGTTCCTTGTAGTATGGACCTTCTAACAACAAATACTCTGTTTTCATTGGTTTTAAAACATCTTTATTATCCCTTTACTGATGACGATAGTGATGATGGTGGTGATGATATGATGATGATGATGGTGACAATGATGGTGATGATACTGATGAAGATGGTGTTGATATCAATAACTGGCAATGACATCTGCCAGTATTACTTAATAATTTCCTATGTTCTTGGTGCTTTTCTAAATCCTTTACACACCTTGTATCACAGATTAAGAGACTGAGGAAATCTTTAATTGAAGGAAGTGATCCAGGGGAGTCAAACAACCATCTAATATTGAGGACAAACTTTTCTAGATATCTAGATATCTCCTCTCTCAATCTCTCTCTCACAATTACCAGCCACTTATCTATCAGTGAAAGTGGGGGGGTGAGCAACAGCAAGGATGTAGAACAGAATATTTAAGGACAGCTCAAGTGTTGCTTGGTAAGAAATGAAAACAGCTAGCCAACAAACAGGAAAGAGAAACACATCCATACAGTGTTCAGGGCAGCCTGTACTGAAGACAGAAAGCCTGTTTGCTAGCAATGGCTATATTAGCGGTATTTATCTACATAAGCATTGTTCTCAATCACGAGTCCACTTTTTTATGAGATAGGAAAACAAATATACAATAAAACAGGAAAACATCTAAGTCTTGCCTAATAAACTAAGGAAAAGGACTTCATAAAAACAGTGCCAGCCAACCTAAACACTCTCTAAGAAAGAGAGGTAATGAAAAAGCATTTCAAAGTACTTCTTTTCTTATTCCATCTCTAAGGACTTATCATAACGACACAAGATTGGCTAGAATATGTTTAAGAAAGAAGCAAGGGTTTCCCTAGTGGCTCAGTTGTAAAGAATACAGCTGCCAATGCAGGAAACAGGGGTTTGATGCCTGGTCCGGAAGATCCCACATGCCATGGAGCATCTAAGCCCATGCTTCACCACTGCTGAAACCCGAGCACCCTGGAGCCCGTGATCTGCAGCAAGAATCTGCAACCAAGAGTAGCCCCTGCTTGCTGCAACTAGACAATGCCTGTGAAGCAATGAAGAGGCAGCACAGCCCAAAAGAAATAAATAAAAAAATTTTAAAAAGAAATAATCTAAATATTCAACCAAGGGCTTAGTTAAAATCTATATAGATTTTAAACTAAAGTTGTAGACGTGTACTTATTGGCATAAATCTGTTAAAAGGGACATGACAGTCACTCAGTCATGTCTGATTCTTTGCGAGCCCATCCCATGGACTGTAGCCCACCAGGCTCCTCTGTCTTTGGGATTCTCCAGGCAAGAATCTTGGCATGGGTTGCCATTTCCTTCTGCAATTAAAAGGGAAATTAGTTCATAATACATTAATAGGGAAAAAACAGATAATAAACAAGATGTCAAACTTTTGTTCCAAGTCGGTTGTAGGCAGTAAATTGTCCCACTTCAACTGTGGGATAAAAAGGGATAAATTACAGAAGGCTATTTTTTGAAAACAGAAATCTATGGCAGTGACGGCATGCCCCATTTTGCACTGTTTGCTGATAGAATCCTCACCATCCTTCCCCCACGCCTCACTTTCTTGCTCTTGTGCTAAATGTTGGCTGTACTGTGGCTGTTTTGAATCTTTACGGCGGTTGGTGGTGTCAATAATCAGCTCACGGTAAACCCCCATTCTCCAGCCTCACCCGGGCCATCGGGGCTGCTGTCATGCCGGCGTGACCCTCAGACCAGGTGGGCTCTGGGACCTGCGGTGGCTCTTTCACCCCTTCCCATCCTCCTCTAATCTCAGAGCCTCCAGCTCCCACACTCACTCTGAGCTGAGTCCTCACCTTCCACTCCTCACAGAGAAGAGAAACTGCCTTCGGGAACAGCCTCTTTCTCCTACAAACTCCTCTGTGCCCACAGGCATCCTTTCTCTCTCTCCTGTCAAGATACAGGTGGTGCCGTCTTGCCATCTGAGGCCAGGCCTTCCAGGGAGCTCTGCATCCCACCCCACCCTCCCCAATGCCTTGTTCTCTTTCCTCTCATGCAGCTTCAGAGTCTTCCTCCCTTCAAAACCCCTGCTGTCTGTGCTCAACCAAGCTCAGTCACGATGCCATCAACACGGAGATGTTCAGTCGCTCAGTCGTGTCCGACTCTTCGCGACCCCACGGACTGCAGCACGCCAGGCCTCCGGGTCCATCATCAACTCCCGGAGTTTACTCACACTCATGTCCATTGAGTCGCTGATGCCATCCAACCATCTCATCCTCTGTTGTTCCCTTCTCCTCCTGCCCTGAATCCTCCGCAGCATCAGGGTCTTTTCCAGTGAATCTCAGCATGGAGAACTTTCCCCTCTTCCTCTGCCCCTGGTTTCATGCCTTTCCTCACGGTCACAAGCCTTGACCGTGTCAAGATGAGTGTCTGTGTGTCTTTCCCTCCATCTGCCCTGTCCTCCCGCCTCAGTCACCAGTGCACGGAGGTCACTTTGCTGGAGGGGGCAACCACCCGAGCTTTCAGCTTTCACGGGGGCTGCGCCGCCCGGGGACCAGAGCGCAGTGAGCTGGAGCTGGACCACATTGGGCAAATCCCAGTGTTGCTAGGCACCGGCAGCCTGATGTCCGGCCTACTGACCGCGCACAGCCGGCTTCCATCCCTGTAACCTGGTAACCTCACTGGTAACGGCTCCCACCACGAGGCTGCTGTGAGCCACCCTGGAGATAAGGCGCCCACCGCAGCAGGGCCCTCCTGGCAGAGGCTGCCCCCATGCTCTGTCGTCCCTCCTTTTGTCCCCTGGGCTGAGGCTGTTACCGCCGCTCAGCCTCTAAGCATCGTGGATGCTGCTCAGCACTGTGCCTCCCAGAGCGTCCTCTTTGCTCTCCTCCTTGGTGGTCAAGGGGCCGGGTGGGCTGGGGGGGCCCTCGCTGCCCGGGACCCCAGCTCCTGCATGGTCAGGTGGCTCTGCCAGCTGCGATAGGCTCTCATCCAGGCGCCTTTCACAGGCAGATGGCGATTGTCAGAGGGGGAGTGGGCGTGTTCCAGCTCCGTCCGCCTGTCACACGCCTGCCGACAGAGGCTCCCTGGATGCTTGTGCCAGAGTGGTCGGCTCTGCGGGGGGCTGCTGTGTCCAGGGGTGGCCGGGCCACTGCCTGACCGAGGCTGATCAGTGCCACGCAGCTCGATGACCCGTGGCCTTGCCAGCCCTGCCTCCAGGCCTGGCTCTGTCTGCTCTGATTTCACGGATCCAGAGGTGACACATTTGAATGAATCATGTCTGCATGGCTGAGTCTAGAACCTGCGGTGCTGGGCTGCCCTGGGCGCCCGTCATGGGGGTTCCTACCATGTCCCAGGGGAGCCAGTCCTCACCCTCCAGCTGTCCCAGACATCCGCCCCCTCTCCCGGGAGCTCTGCGTCCATCATGTCCATTGTCTTAGAGCTGGTCCCCCCAAAGGAGATGGGGCCTCAGTGCTGATCCCAGAGGCAGGGTTTGCACCAAGGTTGTGGAAGGCTCCCCAGATGGAGGTCCTCATGTTCCCAAGGGCACAGGTGCTGACTGTGAGTTTGTAGGGAGGTGGCAGCCACACCTGCTTGGACTTTTAAAACTGAATTTAATTTTTCTTCTGCGTCGCAGCACCAGCGACGGGCACACTCCCCTGGGAGCTCTCTGGGCATGGCTCAGGGGCCTCAATGTGTCCTGGGTGGGGGCAGCTGAGTGGGGTGGCGGTGTGGGCCAGGGTCCCTCCGACCACCAGCCCCTTTGTTCTGTCTCTGCCAAGAGCTGGGCTGCGTGGCCTGCTAACAACCAGGGCTTGAGTCACCCGGCTCCATGCACTGGGTGGGTCTTTGCAGTGTTTCCAGTTCAAAGAGGAGAGTTTGGTTTGTGGGAATTGACCTAAAAAGTGCAGCAAAGAAAGCTAGGCCTTGCTTTCCAGGGCAGCAAGGCCCTTCAGGCGGGAGAGGTAGGCCAATCCTGTTGCGGGCTGGGGCGTGGCCGGCAGAGCGCCCAGAGGGCTGTCACCGCTCCTGGATGCCAGCGTCCTGACCTCCGCCCCACGGCCTGACACTGAGCCCGCTGCCCTCCCAGCTCCCACCAGGCGCTCGGCAGCTTCTCGGAAACCGCATCCGCAGTGTGGTTTGCTGGACCACAGGGCTGGTGTGGAGGCAGGGGCTCTGTGCAGGGTGCTCAGGCCTGGATGGAGCCGGGGAGCCCTGCACTGACCCAGCCGGCTTGTCCCCTCGCCCCCTTCTTCACAGGCTGGGCCGGGTCTCCTGAGGTGACCGTGGAGCTGGGGCTGAGCTCTCGCGCTGCCCAGGCCCGCCGCCCGGCTGCCAGGGTGAACTCCCGAGCTTCAGTCCAGAGCCAGTCGCTCTCTCTGCATTAGGTGCAGGGGGCCCTTGGCCAGTGAGTGTGGGGAACTGGGCCAGTGAAGCCGTCAGCGCCGTACAGTGGCCGTGGAGGACACTGCTGGAGCCGGCCAGTGGGCTGGCCGCCCATCTCAGTCCCGGCTCCGCGGTGTCCTGGGAGTGCGCAGGCCCGCAGGCTGCCTGGGTCCCACCTGGAGTTCTGGACATGGTGGGGCTGTCGCGGGTGCAGCCTCGGGTGGGGAGCAGCTGGATGGAGGCCCAGCACCGTCCTCCGGGAGCGCGCCCTTGGGAATGGCCCCCTCCCCGTCCTCTGCCCACTGCCCGTCCCTGGCCGTGGGGAGTTTCTGCCCCAGTGCCCACCATCATGGTGGTTCCTGTGAGTGCAAAGGGGAGGGGGCACCTGTGGCTGCCTGGGAGGTGGGGGCTCCAGGGTGTTTTCTGAAGGTCACGGGGGGCACGTGTGGGGTTGGGGGGGCTCCAAGTTCAGGAGTAGGTGGGATGTCTCTGGGCTCCAGGGGTCCTCACTGGTGGGGGCGGGGGTCCTGGGATGCTGGAATCAGGGTTCCAGGCGGGCAGCGGCGCCTGCCCGGCAAGGGGGCTCCCTGCTGCTCCTCCCTGAGACCGGGCTGGGCGTCTCCTGCCATCTGGAGCGAAGCCCTCGAATGGGGGCCCAGGGTGGAGCCTGCAGGTGGGGCCCAGCACCGGAGTCTGGTTTCGCGGGCTTCCCCGACCACGGCCTTCACTGTACAAGGTCCCGCTCAGAGGATGCCTCCCTCCCAAGGTTCCTGGGCCCCTCCTGCATGAAGCAGGAACAAAAAAGAGATGTTTGTTCCTGGGGTTTCCGTTGCTGAATAATATATCAGAGGAGGCAGCTCTTAAGAAGCCACATTGGCAGCACCCCTGCCTACGGCCCTGCGATGGCCTGGGTTCTGAGCCAGGCTACGGGCGTGGAGAACCGAGGAGATTTCCGAAGCGCCCGGGGCTCCTGGTGCGTTCTGTTTCGTGGCTGCACAAAGCCCCGATTCCCCCAGAGAAGCTGGACCACGGAGCTGTGAGCTTCAGCACAAGCCTTAACGTTCGCATCTCGACGGGGTTTCCTAAGTGCCGAGTTGTTATTTTTGTGCAGCAGGAGAACAAAGCCGTGTTAAATTCTAAAACGTTGTAGGCATACCACAGGGTTTGTTATGCTGCTGTTGCTTTAAACATTTTGTTGTTTGCCTTTGCCTAAATTAAATACTACGTGTTCACTTGGTGGGGAAAAGACAAAATTACTTCCTTATAGTCTGAAACCAAATCACCCCACCGCACCACATACCTCTCTGGCATGGTTGTTGCTATCTTTTTTCTTGGTTTTAAAGATAAGGATGTTTTATTTAACTTTTTGTTTTATATTGGAGTATAGCTGGTTAACGCTGCTGTGATGTTATAGTTTTAGGGGAACAGGGAAGGGACTCAGTCATACACAGACACGTGTCCATTTTTGACCCTCCTCCCAGGAAATGCACATATTCTATACTCACCCTGTTGAGAATGATTGCAGGGGGGTTGAGGACCAGTGAAACCCACACGTTTCCTCCAGCTGGAAAGCAAATTCCTAATCCTTGGGAAGAAAAGGTCCTGGCTGGATATTTGAAAGTCTGACTCCTTGTGGGGAGGACATGGCAGTAAGTCCAGGCTGCAGGCGCCTGGCGTCTGTTGCTCCTGTAACACGAAGTGCAGTCTCCTTGCTGCCTGCCCCAAGCAGGTGGCCGACAGGGAGCAGTGCCATCCAGGCGAGCCTGGGGGGCGGGGAGCCAGCAGGAGAATGTCAGGAGTTGGGGACACACTGGTGGCCCCTTCCCCCTCCTGATTCAAGAGGAAATCGCAGGCCCACTTGTCTGCCTGGGACTTGGGCCGGTCTGAACCCTGTTTGGGGTTTTACTGCATTTGACCCACGAGTGCCCCCAGATGGGTCTTATTTTTGTCAATGTTGTGCAGTCATCAAAGAACATAAATTAGGGGTACAGACTAGTTCATTTCATCTTGATGACTTACTTGGGTATTTTGCCCAATCATTTTCCGGGGCTGTAACTTTCCGAAGTTTCTATCAGAAAAACCAAACTACACCTTTACTTGGGTTAGTGTCAGAGGTCATGCAAAGATAATGTGAGCAAAAATTAAAGATGTTGTCATACAAAACTGCTGGTGTATCTTTCATAGCTGGTTCTTATGGAACTCAGATATTATTGTGCAAATCACATGGGCCTCTAGAAATTGTTTCTTTTGAACATTTCCAACATAAAATTAATCATCTTCATTATTTTTAAGTGACCTCATGGGCAATACAGTCCACAGGATTCTCCAGGCCAGAATGCTGGAGTGGGTAGCCTTTCCCTTCTCCAGGGGATCTTCCCAACCCAGGGATGGAACCCAGATCTGCCACATTGTAGGCGGATTCTTTACCAGCTGAGCCACCAGGGAAGCCCCTTTAAATGTACAGTTCAGTGTAAAATGCACTTAAAATGTTATGCAGTATCACCCCATCCATCTCTGTAACTTCATTTTGTGAAACTGAAACTCTGTCCTTCATGAACTCCCCATGCCCACTCCTGCAGCTTCTGGCAAGGAGCTTTCTCTGTCTATGAATCTGACTGCTCTTGGGGCCTCATAGAGATGGAATCAGACAATGTTTATCTTTTTATTTTTTGGTAGCTGGCTGATTTCACTTAGCATAATGTCCTCAAGGTTTATCCAAGTGTTCATTTTCTTTTGAGATGATGGACCTGTCAAATATTTGTATTTATCCAACGGCTAAAAGAGATTAAGTCCGTGCCAGCCTACATGAAATGAAAGATGCATCGTGGCATCACTGCTCGTGGAAATGGAGAGTCCATGGGGGACTCTGTTGTTTGCAGTTTTCCTTTCCATATCATTGCTTCCTAAGTGCCTGGAATCCTTCCTGAACCCTCGGTCTCCAGAGGGGGCGGGGCTTGTCCTTTTCAGTTAGAGCGTGGGCTGTGGGGCGGGAGGCTGTCTGGGAGTGTGTACTGAAATTCAGTCCCGGCTGCCTGACCCAGGAGTCTGGAGAGAGGAAGCAGGTGGGGCCTGGCACACTCGCTGGGTGTGGGGAAATTAGCAGGCTGGTGCCAGCCAGGCTGGCTCACCCGACCCTCTCACACACTCTCGCCCCATGTTCTGGGGTGCAGTGACTGAGCGCGGCTGTGTCACAGCTGAGACCACGTACAGCACTGTGCCCGCGGGTCACGAGGAGCTCACCTGGGCAGGAGTTACTGTGAGTGCAGTACCCCTGCAGAGCTTCACCATGAAAGCCCTGGCTGCTGCTGTTACCCTGGAGCGACCCCATGATTATGCTATATGAGGTTATGTTCTGGCTGCTGCGTCAGCCAGGAGAGAGGCTGTGTTATGGCTGCCTTGCCGGCCAGGGGAGAATACATGTGCCTGTACTTCCTACAGCTCCTCGAGTCTCCTCCCAGCCTCTTAGCTTGCGCCTTGCCTACCCTGGGTTCAGCGAACAGTGAGAACAGTGAGACAACTGGTATCACAAACAGGATCATTGATATGCTGGGATCACAGTGGTGCAAACCCTGCCTGCTGTGAGACCGTGTGCAGAGTCCCCACGCCAGGACAGAGGCAACGACAGGTCAAGCCGACTGGAGGGGAGAGATGGGAGACCCCACGTGTGCTGGGACAGGGCCGGTGGGTGGAGGTACCAGCTGGGGCCGGTGCTCTTGTCAACAGATCTGAGGCTTGTAGGACCCTCCTGGAGCTCAGGCCTGGGTTTCTCAGGCCGTTCTCCCCCGCAGGGCACCAGGGCTGATTGGAGGGCCTTAGCATCCACATTTGGAGCAGAAAAACTGAAGACAGGCCTGCAACACCTCCTGAGGAGACAAAGGTGCATGCAATCCTTGGGGAGGTGGGAACAGCAAGCCAGACCAGAGGGGACATCGCTGGCCGATGTGTTCCAGTTTGAACCTCAGAAACAGACCTTGGTGCTGACGGCTGAGTTTGTGAAGGGCTGTGAATTCAGGATGAAGCTCAAAAAAGGGACAAAAGTAGGACGTGTGTTAGAAAAAGGTCATAGAGACTAATGGGAGCATTTTGTTGTTTAGTCATTAAGTCATATTAAAAAGCAGAGACATTACTTTGTCAAAAAAGGTCCATCTAGTCAAGGCTATTGTTTTTCCAGTGGTCATGTATGGATGTGAGAGTTGGACTATAAAGAAAGCTGAACGCTGAAGAAATGATGCTTTTGAACTGTGGTGTTGGAGAAGACTCTTGAGAATCCCTTGGACTGAAAGGAGTTCCAACCAGTCCATCCTAAAGGAGATCAGTCCTGGGTGTTCATTGGAAGGACTCATGCTGAAGCTGAAACTTCAATACTTTGGCCACCTGATACGAAGAGATGACTCATTTGAAAAGACCCTGATGCTGGGAAAGATGGAGGGCAGGAGGAGAAGGGGACGACAGAGGATAAGATGGTTGGAGGGCATCACTGACTCAATGGAAGTGGGTTTGAGTAAACTCCAGGAGTTGGTGATGGACAGGGAGGCCTGGCATGCTGCGATTCACGGGGTCGCAAAGAGTCGGGCACGACTAAGCGACTGAACTGAGTCATTAAGTCGAGTCGGACTCTTTCGCAACCCCATGGACTATAGCCCGCTAGACTCCTCTGTCCCTGGTATTCTTCCAGGTAAGAATACTTGAGTGGGTAGTCAGGTCCCTCTCTAGGGGATCTTCCCAGCCCAGGGATCGAACTCACGTCTCCTGCGTTGGCAGGCAGATTCTTTAAGCTGAGCCACTAGGGAGCTAATGGGAGTATTGATCAGTTCCTACTTTAGGACCTATAAGAACGTGACCCACCATTCCTTGCTATGTGACCACCATCGGGGGATGGGGGGAAACAGGGAAGGGAGTTGTGAATGGGGTCTTGGTAAAAATTCCACGTCAAAACCACTCGGCCAATGACTATTAAATAAGGTGCTGGGACCCACGGGACCCAGCAAGCTTTGTGGGGGGTTGGGGCTGCTATTTAAAGACCCCTGGGTCCCTGAGAGGGGTGGTAGGACTTGATGAACCTTGAAAGCCGTGATGATAGTTGATGTCCCTGGGAATTTCCCATGAAGGGCAAAGATGACTTGCATAAGTCCTCCATGATCACTGATGTAAACCTCCCAGCATAAAAGAAACTTGGTCCCAGAAGAACTAGCCTCTTTGGTCTTTAAGACCCAGATTTGCCAGTTTGTGGAGATAGTGTCCGCACTGTCTGTGGGTCTCTCCCTCCAACCCCATCTGGGGGGACTTGAACGCCACTAAAGGGCAGCTTCTATATCTGCTCCTTGCATGAGAAGCTTGATCTAACGTGTGTGTGTGTGTGTGTGTGATTGTATGAGTGTGTGATTGTGTGAGTACACGAGTCGTGGCCCTGGCTGGGGTGGTGGATGGATGGTGAGGATGAGAGGCAGGTTTGGGGAGGAAGGTGAGTTATTTTCTGACACGTTGAGTCTGGGGCACGTGTGAGGCATCAGGTTGGTGGCTGGAAACATGGGTCTGGACTGTGCACGGTCAGGCTCTTTGGGAGGCTCTGGCACAGGGGTGGGTAGATGAGGCCATCTGGGAGCAGCTGATAGATGAGGTCGAAGCCCAGGGCTTTGTGCAGTCCCAGCTGCTGTGGTGGGAAGCGCAGAGGCCAAGACAGGTACCAGGTCCCCCCCTCTGTGGTGGATGTACACTCAGGACCCAGGAGGGGGTGCCAGCACCCCCCCCCCCACGCCCCGGTGATGACTGCATACTCAGGAGCTTAGATTTAGGAGGGACCTTGGAAGTCACCTGGTCAGAGCCCCACTCAGAGAGATGCAAACTGAGTGACATCAGGTGAGCGGCTGAACCTTCCCTCGTCTGTGAAGAAGGTGAGGGCGCCTCTTCCCAGGGTGGCGGGGCTTCCAGGCCAGGACGTGTGGGAATCGCCCGGCTCCATGACGGGCACACAGCAGACACACAGAGGTCACCACTGTCCTCAGTTATCGGAAGCCCTGCAGCTGTTTTCCAAGGTGTTCGTGGCAGACGGATGAGACAGACTCAACTGAGTCAGCCCTCTGTGGGGCTCCTCAGACCCCCGGTGGAGTCTCCTCTGTAGCTGAGCCAAGTGAATTGTTGGGACATTCTTGCTGCCTGGCCCCTTCCACAGAGGGAGGTGTCCTTGTCTTCCTGGGCTGTCCCCGTGGTAACACCCACCTGATCACCTCTCTTCTGCAGGGACTGATGGGGCCAGGGCTTCCCGCTGCTGGGTGAGCAGAGAGAGAACAGGGTGAAGGGTTTTCATTTATTTTGAATAAAACGTTCCATCTCTTCTCCATCTGTGTAGACAGCTCCCCATCTTGGGCTGGGGTCAGCAGACAGCACCTGTTAGGCTGCTGAAGACCTTTTTTCTGGATATCACGTTCTCAGAAAAAAGTGCGTTTGGAGCTGAACGTTGAGCTCTATGGGAAACCTAGTTTGAATTACTTTTAGATACAGGTTTATGAAATTGTAATGGAATCGTAACGCAAGGAGAACCACTGATCTTGGATGGGTCAAGATAAGATTAACACCAAGATGAGATAACACAGAGACTATTTCCAATGCCTGAGTCTTTGAAAAGTGCGATCTAGCATGCTGCCGAAGCGATTGATGCTCCTTGTTCCCTCAACACGTCGCTGTTTTCTTGCTCAGGAACTGGGTGGCATCCCTTTGAGCTGAAGTCCTGAGCCTTGTGTCTAAGGATGATGGGTGGAAGTGTAGACTGCCTTTTTGCTTCTCTTCTCAAAAGTCACTCTCTTGCCTCCGGCACCAGGCGGGCAGTGTGTGGGGTCCTTTGGGATGGAGCTCCTACCGCATCCAGCTGGGGGCGAGTCTACGAGGAGAGACCCCCACTTCCTCTTCTGCGCCTGCTTCTCCCAGCCGACCCCACCCGCTGCCTATAATCCTGCAGGAGTGAGGCGGGAGGAGATGAGGAACGTGTCCGGGGGGATTTTGTGCAGCAGGAAAGCTCGAGGCCTCAGTGGGCTTGGACTCTGTCTGCGGGACCTCAACTTCTCCAGGACGTCTGCCTCCCACTCCATTCCTCAAAAGGTGCAGCATAATCTGCAGGCATCTCTGCCCTGGACTTAGGGGCATATTCCAACTGTGACTCTGCTGTGTTCAGATACAGTGGTTTTCAGTTTCTGCTGTGGTCCAGGTCGACTCTGGGAGATTTCACACTCCTTGGAGGACACTTCTCTCTGGACCCTGACCTTTGTGGTGGCTCTTGCTGCGCTGTGGAGATGCACACAAGGCAGTCTCTTCCGTCCCGCTGGCCTGGGAGGAGGCTGGAGGCAGACGGACAGTCGCCACCCCTTCGCACCCTGTGCCTGGTGCAGGTCGCTTGGTCCTGTCCTGAAGCCATTGGGGACGGAGGCTGGGGGCCGTCTGGGCGCTGAAGGCTGGCAGCGCCCGAGCGCGGCCTGGGAGAGGAGGTCCAGACCGGCCTGGGTCTTCTGGGGGAGCAGACACGCCTCTGGAGGGGGCTCCTCCAGTTGGCTTTTCCTAGAGGGCTGTGCCTCTTGAAATAGAACACAATGAAGGTCATTGTGATGAGGTAACAGTGCCTCTAAGCTCAGCAGTTTCAGTTTCACGAAACAGGTCCAGTTAAGGGCAGACACCTGAGTACGAAGGTAAGAGCAACTAGTGAAAAGTGAAAAGTGTTAGTCGCTCAGTTGTGTCCGACTCTGCGACCCCATGGCTGTAGCCCACCAGGCTCCCCTGTTCATGGAATTCTTCAGGCAAGAATACTGGAGTGGGTAGCCTTTCCCTCCTCTAGACGATCTTCCCAACCCAGGGATTGAACCCAGGTCTCCTGTATTGCAGGCAGAGAGCAACTAAGTGTTGACCAAATAAAACCTTCTTCTGAAAGTGGTCTTTCTTTTCCTTTAGATTTGTATGCTTTTGCGCTGTGAATTGCTTTCAGTTATGAAGAACTTAGACCTGGGTTTCCTGTCTTGGCTCATTGACGTCACTGTGACATTTGTTCAGATGAGGGGGCCCCGCCGTCTGCACACCTTGTTCTGCTCAGGGACGCACTGGAGGGTCTTGGGTCGAGGTTTCCCCACTTCTCACGTGGTACCCCAGCCTGCCGTGTGACCCCGCATCCCAGCTGTCTACCACCTAACATGGAAATGACCTGTAAATGGTCAGTTTCTCCACCAGAATAACCTGGAAAAAGCCTTGGATCATTCAGATACACATACGAATTAACTGAGTTAACAAGATAAAAGGAGACAACGAGAAAGTGAGCCGTTGCTTGGGGTAAACCAGCGCCTGTGTTCCTGGGGGCATCCCGCTCACGACAGCCTTCTGCTGCTCTTTGCTCCAGCACATCCGCGGGCTGGGGTGGGGGTGGGGCTTGGAGCTGGAGTCTTCAGATGTGATGTCATTACGTGTACTTTTTTCTGACCCGACGTTCTTGCTACGAAATGAATTACTGAAAACTACTTTCTGGTTTCCTCAATAGGAATTGCTCTATTGTGGCCTATTTATGGGTCCTGTGTACTGGATTTAAGAGAATTTGTGCAGTATTGTTACTGGTGCAGTTCTCCTAAGTACTCGAATGAAAACTCTGCTGTGTCGTTTGGGAGCCCAGTGTAGGAGACGCTGGGGTCCCAGCCCTGCACTGGGAGCTGGCTGGCTCTGGCAGTTCTCACCCTCTCCTCAAACACCGAATCTTAGCTTAGAGGTTACCAGGGCTGCAGGAGGAGTGGTGACTGGACGGGTCCCACTTGAGAGGCTGTTGGGAGGAGGGAGGTGGCAGACGAGAGCTGACCCAGAGCAGAAGTCATAGGAGGCTTCCCAGGTGGCTCAGTGATAGGGAACTCGCCTGTGATGCTGGAGACATGGGTTCGATCCCTGGGTCGGGAAGATCACCTGGAGAAGGAAATAGCAACCCACTTCAGTATTCTTGCCTGGGAAATCCCATGGACAGAGGGGCCTGCCGGCCTGTGATCCATGGGATTGTAAAGAGTTGGATGTGTCTCAGTGACTCAACAACAATAGAAGTCATAGGAACGGGGAACCCAGAAGAGATTGAGGGGAGTTTAGGGGGCAGCTTTTCTTGGGTCTGGTGCCGATTTGTGTGTGGAAGGTGGTGAGAGAGGTGAAAGAAGACTGTCTGGGACTGAAGTTTGGGTGAGGGGGAGGGTGGTGGTGGGAGCTGGGGAGGGGGGTGGGCGAGGAGTAAGGAGATGAGTGCATTTGGGGCAGGTGGGGTTTGAGGGTCTGCAGGTTCCGTTCAGGGCTGTGGGCACAGCTCTGTGTCTTGAAGTCATGAGAGTGTAGATTTAAAGCAGTAGCGACTTCTCCCCTTGGTGTTTAATTTCTTTGATTTTTGCTCTATCTACAACACTTTGTTCCTCCTCTCCGCTGTGAGCTGTTCTTCTTATTTTTAGCAGCGGAAACTTAGATCATCAATTTCTGAACATTTTTCTAATAGGAAAACTTATTAAAAATTATTCTGTAAGCATTGCCTGCCCTGCATCCCACACATGTTGATATCTTTTTATTTCATTCAGTTAAACATATTTTCTAATTTCCCTTGGGACTTTCCCTGTGATCCCACAGGTTGTTTAGAAATGTGTTGTTTAATTTGACATTTGGGGGACAATTTTCAGGTACTCTCTGTTATTGGTTTCTAGTGGAACCCCATTTGGGTCAGAGAACAGTTTGTATGATTTCTATTCTTTTATATTTGTTGCGGTTTGTCTTAGGGCCCAGAATACGCCCTATGCTGGTGCAGATCTAATTTACTCTTAAAAAGCAGGAGTCATTGTGTGGAGTGTCCTGTTAATCTCAGTTAGGTCTTGTCGGTTCAAAGTGTTGTTAAGATCATCCATATGCTTATTGATTTTTTTGTCTTGTTTTTTTCAATTACTCAAAGAGGACTGTCGAAGTTTTTCAACCATGTGCATACATTTGTTTATTTTCCCTTTCTGTCCTCTTGGTTTTTGCTTTATGTATTCTGAGGCTCTGTTGTTAGGTGCAGGGATGTTTAGGATTGTTGCACTTCTTGCTGAGTTACATGACGGCCCTCTTTGTTGAGGATCGCATTCTGCAATCTACTTTGATATTAATGTAGCCACTCCAGCTTTCTTACTTCTGATCAGTGTTCGTACATTATCTCTTTTTATATCCTTTTGCTTTCAACACAGTTTTGTACAAACCCATTTAAAACAGAAATCGTTACACATATATAGATACAAGGGTTCATATAAAAATATCTTTATCTAGACAATATATATGTTTGCCATGTTTCTTTAGTCTTTTTTTTTTAATTATTGTGGGCCATCCTGTTTATTTTTTTGACACCAGCACACAGCATCTGGGATCTTAGTTCCCTCACCAGGGATGGAACCCATAACCCCTGCATTGGAAGTGCAGAGTCTTAACCACTGGACCGCCAGGGAAGTTCCCTCATTGTTTTTCTAAAGACCATTTCTGTTTTATGTAGTTATCCATAATGTTGTCTTTAAAACTACCATATAGCTACATGTTTCTTTTTCTCCTTTGATGATCTTAAGTGCTATTTTCTTTAAAATGCTTTACCTCCCCTTCTCTACACATTCTGCCCAGTTTCAACCTGCTGTGTTTTTCCTTTCCGAAGGGCTTATTCTTAGCGTGATCTAGAATCATACGACGCTCTTGTCATTAACACGGTTGACGCTTGTACCTCTCATCTCCAATTAGACGGCAGGTCCTTGAGGCCCGGGGCCACAGCTCTGTCTTTCGTTCCCCATGGTGCCTGGTGGACTACGCATCTGTAGGAGGAACTAACTGCCCAGCCAGAGGGAACCGGTCATCTGGTTTCTTCACTCACAGAGGACTTCCAGTGATGTTAGAGGGAAATCAGGCAATTGTGTGGGATCTAGCTGCCATCTGCCTTGACCCAATCCTTCGGTTCCCTGTAGTATCTGTGAGGAAACGTCTCTGGTTTTCTCAGTTCCTCTCGGCCCGCCCTGCGCCTCCCTCAGTGCCCTGAGCCGCTCCGCGGGCCCCAGCCACTGCCGTCTTCTCTGCTGACCCCAGGCAGTCGTGCCGCAGCGGACTGAGCTCGGGCAGACAGCTGCCTCCTGAGCTTCCGGTTTGCATACCCACCCACCTGCTGACACCTCACACTCTGTGCTCCCCACCCCGTCCTTCTCCTCTGACTTTCTGTCTCGGATGCAGGAATCCTCTTCCTTCGAGACCCAACCTCAATGTCATCTTTGAATTCTCCTTCTCACCCATCCGCCTCTTTCCCCATCTAATCGGTCCCCGCATCCTGCCTTTCTCCTTTCTCTCTGGCTGTCTTCCCTAACACACTGACAGCGTTCTCTGGTTCCAGGCTGGCGGCCCAGCCCGGAACGCTTCGCCCACTGGCTGTCTTCCTTCGCCTTGACCTCTGCCTTCACCACTGCGCCGCCATGCTTCCGGGGCCCATGGGCATCCTTCTGCTCCTCCTTCCGTCTGACTCAGACCAGGCGCTAGAGCTCTGCCCCGTTATGTCCCTCCCACGTCCGTCTGCCCCGTTACGTCACTCCCACGTCCGTCTGCCCCGTTACGTCCCTCCCACGTCCGTCTGCCCCGTTACGTCCCTCCCACGTCCGTCTGCCCCGTTACGTCACTCCCACATCCGTCTGCCCCATCTACGTCCCTCCCACGTCCGTCTGCCCCGTTACGTCACTCCCACGTCCGTCTGCCCCGTTACGTCCCTCCCACGTCCGTCTGCCCCGTTACGTCACTCCCACGTCCGTCTGCCCCATCTACGTCCCTCCCACGTCCGTCTGCCCCGTTACGTCCCTCCCACGTCCGTCTGCCCCGTTACGTCCCTCCCACGTCCGTCTGCCCTGTTATGTCACTCCCATGTCCGTCTGCCCCATCTACGTCCCTCCCGCTTCCATCTGCCCCATTACGTCCCTCCCACGTCCGTCTGCCCCATCTACGTCCCTCCCACGTCCGTCTGCCCCGTCTGCGTCACTCCCACTTCCGTCTGCCCCATGTACGTCACTCCCACTTCCGTCTGCCCCATCTACGTCCCTCTCACGTCCGTCTGCCCTGTCTGCATCACTCCCACTTCCGTCTGCTCCCTGTCCTGTGTGTCTCCGACAGTAATGGGCCCTCACGTCAGTGTTGACGCTGCCCCACCCACCCCTATGTCTGCTCCCTCTTTGTGGGCCGGATCCCGGCTTCATCCACCTCTGGAAACCCCATGCCGGGCGTGCAGTACCTGTTTGGTAGGTGCCCACACTGAGCAGATCTTTTGTCTGGTGCATTCTAGCTGGACTTGATGGCGAGGTTCTTCCTGGACATGGCAGACTCTGACCAGCTTGCGTTTCTCTTTCTGCCCCAGGTTACTCTGGATATTCAAGAGTTTAACCCTTTTTATTGGGTTTTCTTTCTGCTCCAAAATCAGGGACATGGTTACCCTCTGTGCTCC